GGAGGAGACTTCTGAGATATGCAGTCTTCAGTTCCCCTGAGATTGAACACTTGACCTCACATCTGCTCCTGCCCTTCCCACCTGGCTTGGGCCTGGGGAAGGGGCTGAGCACTTCCCACACCTGCCCAGGTCTGCTTGGTCCCACTGCCCCAGCTTCCACTCACCCGTCGGCCTCCTCAGGTCGCAGCTGTGAACTGCAGCAGGAGACCCTGAGGTCAGACACTGAAGGGCCTTCTCAACCATCACAGCTGTGGGGACTGGGGACTTAGGGAGGTGGCAACATGGATGTGCTAGTGTTTACAAGATGGGGTCAGCCATGCTAGTGACAGTGGGATGGCTGAGGTGACCTGAGTCCCACTTCTTTCCCTGGACAGCCAGAGAAGCTGGGCGACATCTGCACCTCCCTACGCTACGTGCCCACAGCCGGGAAGCTCACTGTCTGCATCCTGGAGGCCAAGAACCTCAAGAAGATGGACGTGGGTGGCCTTTCAGGTACATGCAGAGCTTCTGGCTGCCATTGGGTGGCACCAGTGAGCCAGTCACAGCCCAGAACCCCAGGAGATTGCACACTCCAGAAAGGAGGAGGAGGTCTTTCCTGTCCTGGGACCTGGGTGTCCCCCTTCAGAGCAGGGGAGCTCTGACCCCCTGTCTGAGGTGTCTTCCCAGTGCTCCCCAGCCATGCCCTGTGGGCTACAGAGAATCAGAGAGATTTCAATGAGTTGTGACAGGATTTTGCTTCTCCCAGGGAAGTTTAGGAAGTGGATGAGGCCTACCCAAAGTAGGCCTCTCCATCAGGCCCACTTTGTGTCCACTGGGGACACTTCCAGGAGAGGCTGTAGGCTCTGCTGGCTCTCCCCTGGCAAGGGACTCCATGCATACATGGCGGATGCTGAGTTTTAGACTTACCTGGTGAGAAATGGGACCGACACCTGAATCACCAGGTACAGCCCCCTGTCTCTGCCGTGCTGTCCCAGAGAATCAGCCTGTGCTGGACTCAGTCACTGAGCCAGTACGTGACTTTTGGTGGGTTATTTCCCTTCTTCAGTCTTACTTTCTCGAATCTGCAAGTTTGGGAAGATGGGCTTGGGCAGGATCAGGACTAGGCAGAGGTGCCCCTGCCTAGCACAGTCATCACCAGCTGAGCCCCATACTCTCTCACGAGGCCTAACTTAGAAGCAGAAATTTCCTCAATGTGATGCTCCAGGAAGCCACAAGCAACCAGTCAGAACTGGTCCTTGAGGTGAAACCTACTGCCAGCCTTGAGGATCCTCTGTGTCTTTTGGGTTTCCTGTTCTGTGCCTCAGGGCTTTCTGAGGGCCTGGTCTCAGCTGGGTGGAGACTCCCACCCCCATCCTCCATGGAGGCCCTGGGTACCTGGGAGGGTGGACGTGGGCTAAGGGAGCCTTTTGGGTTGGCATTCTCCCCGCCACAGACCCCTATGTGAAGATCCACCTGATGCAGAACGGCAAGAGGCTCAAGAAGAAGAAGACAACGGTGAAGAAGAAGACCCTGAACCCCTACTTTAACGAGTCCTTCAGCTTTGAGATCCCCTTTGAGCAGATCCAGGTGCGTGAGCCTGAAGGACCTCAGGCGCAGAGCTGGGCCAGGAGGCAAATGAGTATGGGCAGGTGGAGGGCAGGGGACTCACCCAGGAGTTTCCTCCAACCATGGAGGAGTGTCACTCTGGTGGGGGAATGCCACGTGGGGGCTCTTCCCCAGGGTCTCCCTTTTGGAGGAGATGAACATAAAGTAATTAAAAACATTCTACAGACGGCTCCTTTAGAATTTGGAAGGACATGGTTGTACATATGGGCCAGGGGGTGACACCAGTGAGACTGGAAGTGACTAAGAAGGAAATAGTCTCTTTCCCTTCCATCCTCCCTTGGTCATCCCTGCCCCCATGTTCCCTGCTTCCTAAGTCTGCTCCCATCTTCCCCTCTAACCTCTTCCTCCCTCCTCTTTCCCCCCCACTTTTCCTTTTCTTTCTTTCCCTTCCTCCTTCCCTCCCTTCTGTCCCACCAGAAAGTGCTGTACACAGATGAGGTTTGTTTTTCTCCACTTCTGGGTGGGACTGGGATCTGGACTTGGTAAGATGGGAGACACAGACCCTTCTGGGCTGGAAGTCAGATGCAGGGGCTTGCAGGGGGGCGGTTCTCTTCAGGGGAGCTGTCCTTTCCCCTCTTCTCCCTCTTTGAAGGGCAAGAGTGCCAAGGGGCTCTTCAGAGTTGAAGTTGTCCGGTTTGAGGTGTCCATGATGTCATTTACGGAATCTTCAGGGGAATAGATGTGATCCCAAGAGGAATCTTCACAATGAAAAGCTTCAGATGTGAACTATCCTGGCTCAAGCATCTCAAATCCACAAGTCCAAAGCCAACATAATGGTCTTCTCCCTCCCTGATCCCATCCAAACCTGCTTTGCTAAATTCTGTTTTCAATGAATGACCCTACATCTTCCCAGTGGCCCATGTCAGAGGCCTGAGCTTCATCTGAGACCCCAGTCCTTTTTCTTTTCCCATTTACTCAACATATTTCCTGAGCATTTCCTAAGTGCCAGGCACTTGCTAGTGGCTGGGGAAATAAGTGTGTAGAAGACACAGACCTGGTGTCAAGGCCCTCATAGTGGGAAGGGCCCAGAAAACACCGTGGGATGGTGGCTTCAGTGTGCCTAAGATTCAGGGGAGGCTTTGCAAAGAAAGCTTTGCCCTAAGGGATGAGCCTGAGTTGGTAGGGAGGGGGGAGAAAGGCATTGACTGTCCCCTCAACAAGTCCAAATGATCACCAAGTCCTCTTGATTCTCTCCTCTAAATACCTCTCTGGTCTGGCCCTGACTTCCCATCCCCACTGTCCTGGTTCACATTCACTAATACACCCCTGCAGACCCCTAGCAATGGGTGCTCCTGCAATCAGGTCCATTCCTCCCACCTCGGGGCCAGGTTCTCCTAACAGATCCATGCCACCCCTTCTCTTATGTCTTCAGGAGCTGCCTACTGTTTATCTGACTGATAGATAAAGTGAAAACTCCTTAGCTGACCTCACTTCCTGTCCAGCTGACCTCACTTCCTGCCCAGCTGACCTCACTTCCTGTGTCTCAATCTATACTTCAGTGAATCTGAACTTCTGTTTCTCAGTTACCAGTGCACTCTCCTGTCTCTGTTCCCTCTCTGAGGCTAATCTTCTTTTCTGGAACTCTCTTCCCTCTTTTCTGCCGTCTGTGAAGCCCTTCCTGTATTGACCCAAGCAGGACTGTCATTTCCTCTGAGTTTCCCTTGTACCTGGTGTTCCCCTCTCTAGCATAACCTTTATTACTTTGTGGGGCAATTTTTTGATTATGTGCATGTTGATGTCATTAGAAGTAAAATTCATCTTTTCCTTCTCCCATCCCCTCTGCAAGTACTGACAGTGCCTGGAGCATTTTTTGTGGTGCACAAAATGCTGTTGGTAGCAACACAGGTTGTCCCCACAGGTGTGGCCTTTGCCTCCATGTAAATTCAGTCTTATTGGGAGCCCGAGATGGAAGGCAGTAAGGAGCCCAGGGAGGCCTTTCTTCCCGATTGTTTGGAGTAAATGTTGATGGAGGGAAATTTGGACTTGGAATTCCATGTCTTCACTTTCCAACGTCCTCCCTCTTTGGCTTCCCTTGCAGAAAGTCCAGGTGGTGGTCACTGTGCTGGACTATGACAAGCTGGGCAAGAATGAAGCCATCGGCAAGATCTTTGTGGGCAGCAACGCCACGGGCACAGAGCTGCGACACTGGTCTGACATGCTGGCCAACCCCCGGAGGCCCATCGCCCAGTGGCACTCACTGAAGCCAGAGGAGGAGGTGGACGCACTTCTGGGCAAGAATAAGTAGATGGCCGAGGCTGGGACCTCGTGCCCTTGATGGACACTGACAAGATCCAGAGCTATCAATACCTCAGTTATGCGACCTTAGAGGTTTTCTTCATCGTTTGTGGTTGTGTCCTTGTTTTTCCTTCCTTTTCTCTTTTTCAAGACCAACTTTCCTTTGATGGCTGTGTGAGGAGAGTCCCCTAAGAGGTGGAAGAGAAGCCTGGCTCTGTTCATCGTCCCAGGAGCTGCGGTCGCTGCATGCCCTGCCGGTTCCCCCTCACTCTCTCAAAGCTTTGTTCAAGCCTCACCCTGGGTGAGGCCCTCTCCTGGCGGGAAGTTGCAGCGCTTCCTGGTTTTTGTGCGTTCTGGACCAACAACATGGCAGCACATCTTGCTTTGCAACAGCCAAGGCAACACAGTAGCCAACGTGTGTGTGTGTGTGTGTGTGTGTGTGTGTGTGTGTGAGTGTGTGGGTGTCTGAGTATTTTTCTTCATTCCTGGGATGAGCCATAGACAGTGATCCTCTGTGGGAAGAGAAGGCTCTTCAGGGACATGAGGAGATGAAGAAAGTCCACTGTCTGAGTGGAACATGGTCTACCAGATGGCGGAGAAGGCTCAGAATCCCAGTCAGAGGCTGGAAGCCCTCATACTCTTCTGGGTGGACATTTGGGAGGCAGCAAGATGTGGGGACTGGATGTGTCCAGAACTAGGACCAGACCCCTGATGCCGTCACAGACTTCCTCCTGTCAATCATGTTTCCCCAGAAGTGGGGTTTCTGGGACATTCATGGAAATGAACTATCCCTAGATTGGTTAGACTCTTCACAGGGACCGTCAGTCCCAGGATCTCACTCTTGCTGACAATGAACATTGAACTATGAAGCAACAGAAGTCCTGTTACCCTGAAAGACCAAGCTTAAGCTCCCGGATCTTTGCCCCAACTAGTGGGAAACACACTTTCTCCCTTTCCAGAGTCTCAGCAGCACGGTTCATGGGCCCTTGTTCTCCATGATGCTTTTGCTTCTGTTTGTCTTTGCATCTAAGTGGATCAACACTGTCTGAAGACGTGTTATCTGTACAGAGCCAGAGAACGTTAAAAGGAAGGCTTAAATGTGCTTAGTTTCCCTGAGGTCCAGGTAAGAAGGGGGTGGTTAGAAGGGAAGGATGATGGGCAGATGCTGGAGATTTTCTGAGACGGTACAGAGGGGAGCAGTGGGATTCCTTCCATTCCTATTCCTTGCTCCCTGGGCCCTCTGCTTTCCATGCTTGGCTTATGGATTGCTAGAGTGGCCCAGCGAGACGTGCGAGGAGGCCCCAGCCTTCCATTCATCAGAGAGACTTTTCTCGGTGAATGTCAAGATGTGAATGCCATTCATTTGAAATGGGTGGAGACCAACCAGTGTTTCATCAATTTTATTTTATTTTGTGGTGCTGGGGATCACACCCAGGGCCTCCTGCATGCTAGGCAAGCACTTAAGCTATATTCCCAGCCTTGTGCCAGGTTTTCTACCCCATGCCCAGTTGTGTCCCATACCTGTTCACCTTTTGTCCCTAGCATTGATAAAAAGCCATATATATGTTAGTCGGGTTTGCACTGAGTTCCCTTCCAAAACTTCAGCATGGCCAAGAGAGTCAGGCCCCCATGTGGCTAGAGGCCAGCCCTCCTTGTCTCCCTTCCTCTAATCTCTCTCTTCCATCCTCAAAGCTCTCAGGCTCTTGGTATTTCCCTACCAGAGAAAAATCACAGCTTCTCCAGGAGGCTGGGGATCACTCTCTTTCCCAGTAAAAAATGGCAGAATTTTCCTCCTGCCCCATTTGAGCCACTTCAGCTTCCTGTAGGTACCTGACACAGGTAGATGGTGATGGAGTGAATCAGGCTTTGAGGCCCCAGCACAGAGAAGGTGCAGAGTGTCTTTTTATTCAAAAAAGTGGGGGGAGGAAGGAATTTGGTTTTGCTTGGCTTTGTTTTTTTTTTTTTGGTTGAAGCAGGGAGTGAGAGGACACTTACAGCAGAAACAGACCGGGAAGCAGGACTTGGCTTGCCTCTCTTAGAGTCCCTTCCCTTCCTACCAGTGGCCCTTGGTACATGGGAAGTTATGCATTTTATACTCCGTGTGTGTGTGTGTGTGTGTGTGTGTGTGTGTGAACAATGAGAAGGTAGCACTCTGATAAGGATTATGAGCAGTGGTCCTTGGGACCAGAGTTGTGGTCATGGTAAAAAACTGTAGGACAATAGGGTGCCTTCAGAATCAAGGTGGCCACAGAGTACCAGAGTCTTGGTGTGGACATCAGAAGTCACTGGACTCTTCTTCCCTCCCCAGAGCTGAGGCATTTTGGTGCTTTCTCAGGGTCCTTCCTCACTTACGTCCCCGCGAACCTCATTCATGGAAACCCCCTGTCAATCTCACCCCCTTGACCTTCCTTCTTCTGCCTTCTCCCAATCCACTTCCTACCACCTGGGATTCTTCTCTGCCCATGAGCTTCATTTAACCCTTCTAGCGCCTAAGATCTACCACTTCCCAAACAGAGAAGGAAAGGAAACCTCTGGTGTTTCGTGTGTGCCTGGGCCTGGAGATAGAGGCTGGACAGTTCCTATTCAGAGCCCACCTTGAGCGGAGCCTGGAGGGGACAGGCTGCTGAGGCTTCTACTGGTAGCACGGTGGGTGCTGGGAGCGTGTCCTCCCTCAGGTCCCAGCTGGTCCTGATGAGCTCCCAGAACAGGAGGGGAAGTCCACAAGCAGGTGGGACATGCTAATGCTGGAAAGTTTCTATAGCTGACAGCTGAGGAAGCCTAACCACAGAGCATCCTTCTAAACCCCGACTGCTGTATGGATTTATTCCTGGGGATGTCAGGGTCCTGGAGTGTGAGAGCTAATCAGGACAGAGTTAGGTGTCTGACTAGTGAGGGGTTCAGGATGCTTCTGGGGCTATGAGTTTTCATTCCAAAGTCTGTTCCAGAGAGAGGAAAGTACTTAGTTGAGAGCAGCATTTTTACAGAGGGACTGAAACTATGAAAATCCAAACTCAGAGCCACTCAGAAACTAGGACGAGGGCTAAGGCTGCTTTCTCCCTGAATCATCTATGTAGAAGGAAAACCAACTCTGCCAAAGCTATGGGCAGATTTTTTAGAGTTTGGAAGCAGAAGCTGAGGCCTGGGAGAGGCTGAGCAGGTGCTCGGGGTGAAGGAGAAACCACGGTCCTGGAGCTTCTTGGCTGGAGGTTGGATGACAGGGATCAGGCCACAGTTTCAGGTCCTGGTCTTCTTTCTAATCAAGAAACCATACATAGCGTGTGTCTCTGCAGAATCAGATTTGGGTGATTTTGCTGGCCCCAAGCTTCAGGGAGAGAAGAGGGGTGGCTGCAGGGTCTCTCATAAACTGGCTTCTATGTGATGGGGTGAGGGCAGGGTGGGTAGGAGACAGCAGAGGCTCTCCCTGGCTGCGGGAGCAAGAGATTCCTTGTTCCTTTAATGTTCTAGGCTATTCTTTGAGTCTTCAGTTCTGATCTCACCCAACCCTGTAGAGAGAGCCTGTCCCACCTCAAGAGGAAGAGATGGAGCCAGTGACTGCCCTCTTACCCTCTGCCTTCACCCTTTCCCTCCTCAGGCTGGTTGGGGCCTTTCATCAGAGCCATGGGTGGTGGCAGGCCCTTATCCTTGTGGCACAGAGTCCCGTGATATACAGTGCCAGATTTGGAAAGTAAAAATATAGGATGGTCGAATTCAGAATTTCAGATAAACAATACAATTTTTAAGGATGTCATAGGCAATATTTGTGACACACTATACTTAAAAATGGTTCATCGTTTATCTGAAATTCAAATTTAACTGGCCATCCTGTACTGTGTCTGACAACCCTACCCTATGACCACATCCCTCCTCTCCTGCTCAGTCCCAGGGGGCCAGAGGTTGGTCACCACGGATTTGACCTAACCTGTTTTTTGAAATGCAATATTGAGAAGGGGACACTGTGACTTGAAGATACATGAATATACTTTATTTTTTAAGCGACAACAAAAGCACCTTTTGAAGCCATTTGAGCCTCATCCGACCCCTGCCATGTGCATTTAGTTATATATTAAAAGAAAATAGTTATCTATAAACATACGAACAGAATCTTGTTGAGTCAAGATGCATGTCTATAAACTTCTGTAAATAGCCGCATGGCAACGCTGAGAGTCCCCTCGGTCCCCCAACCTCAGGCCTATTTTACAGAACTGGTCAAGGCTGCTCCTTCTCTTTTCTGTTGTGTGACGTCTTTGTCCCCAGCTCCACACCCGCCCTTCCCCAGTGGGAATCCCATAATGGGAGCTGTCAGGGGATGGGAACGGGTTTCCAGCCCTGGTGCTGGCCCTGTTGGAGAAGATGCTGGAGGACACCATGGCCCCGAAGGCCCCCCGTCTGCGGTGCATCTATGGGCAGGGCCAAGGCGCGCCGTGTCCCACCTGCTGTCTGGTGTCCACTGTTTCTGTGTTCCGTGTCCGTGTGTGGCGTGGCTCCTTTCCTCCCGCTGTCTGAATAACTGAAAAGCCATAAAGGGGGCCTTCTGCTGGAGACTGCCCTCCGCCCTCCCAGGAGCCCCTATGTCCCTCCGACTGGCTCCCCACAGAACACTTGTGAAGGGCTCACTTGTTGTCCTCCCCTCCTGCTTCCTCAGCCCCGTGTCATGAGGATGGACGGTGGCCAGGGCTTCTGGTGGGGCCTTGGGAGGTGTCCCTGGCTGGCTGTGGTCTGATGGCTCCACTCCATCTCCACCCTGACGGTGCATGGTGGGACGCCACAGTTCTGCTACTTTCCTGGGGGCCCTGCAGAGTCAACCCAGAGTTTCAGGAGCAGCCAGTCAGCAGCTCAGTCTGTGGTCGGGTTTCCATTTACGACCTGGGTCCTCAACCAGCCTGGCCTACTTGCCACTGAGGTGTCAGGGTCCATAGAGGGTAATGGAGGAGGAACTCGTGGGGGGAAACCTAGGGCTGGTAGTGGGTTAGGCTTTATCCCCATCTTCCTTCTGCAGTCTGAGAGAGAGCACCCCAATAGTGTGGTGGCCCTAGGGCTGCCAGGCTCCTCCAGAAGTGGTGGGTAGGATAGCTTAGTGGTGGTTATGGATAGCTTAGAGGACCCTTGGCAGAACAGGTGTGTTCTGGGCTCTGGCCTTCACGCTGGCTCCCCCAGCCCGCGCCAGGCACAGCAAGCAGTAGGGGCCCAAAGCCTTCCAAGGTCCCTGGTTGAAGTGCAGTCCCCAGCCTGCAGCCCCAGGCCCCCAGAGCACAGGAGGGCGGTGATGCATGCGAGTAACCCAGGAAGCCTCGGGCCGAGAAGAGCTTGAGGAGAATCAGGCGGGTTGTGTTAGACAAGGCCAGAGGTGGCAGAGTGAGCCCTGCCAGTTACAAACCACAGCACCCGGGCACACAAAAATCCCAGGGCCAGCTCTCTTGGTCCCTCCCACTTTCCACAGACACGGAAATTGAGGCAAGATTGGAGGGAGGGTCTGTGGTGAGGGGGCAGCCTCCG